TGACAGCTGCAGTTATGTCAGCACCACTAAATTAGGCACTGCTAAAACAGTAGTTCATACTTGCTCCCCAAATGCAGTGTGCTTACTAGGGGATACTGACTCTTTCAAGGAAGAAGAAAACAGGCTAAACTTATTTTTAGATGTATTAATTTCTTCAGAATAATTCTCTGAGGAATCACTAATTTACAAGCATTGTGTTGCTTATATGGCAAATCAATTTTAGCCTGAGATTTCCATTTTAGGGTCATATTGGTTTGAGTGCACAACAGAGGGATGTGATGCACAAGTCTTTATGGAAAATACTTTCCTAGGGTATCTATGGCAGCATTCATAGGGTCATGGAGTGGTTTGGGTTGGAAGGAGCCCTAAAGATTATCTTGTTCCAACCCCCTCTGCCACAGACAAGGACAAACTCTACTAGCACAGGTTACTTTAGGGGTGCATTCAAAGAATTCTCATGCTTTCCTGCTCTATTTGTATGATTTCCTTAAAATGCTAATCCTTCTAGTTTGACAAATAACAATTAAAATATTCTTTACCCTTTTTGTATTTTAAAACACTTAACTTGCTCAAGAAGAGTCAAGATTTGAAATGAAGATTGCCAGGAAGGAGTGAAAATTGAATTCTACAAAGTTTTGTCTGGAAAAGTGAGAGTGTTTTAGGAGGGTGGGAGGACATTTTCACCCCTGCTCTCTGAAGAAGTTGTATTTTGAATCCTGTGTTTTGGTAATGATTGTAAAGAAAACAAAGAAAGCTCTTACCAGTTTGATGCTCAGCAATATAAAGCCACAAGTAAGTACATTGAATGTGTCAGCTAACTTCATTCTCCTTGTGTTTTTGCAGAGTTATTTTCTTTGAAAGACCCTAGTCAAGTCTGGCCATTCCTTATTTAAAGTTTTATTTAAATTCAGAATTATTCAGTATATATATAAAATTGTCCATTTTGTAGCATGACTTTAGTTTCACTACATTTCAGGAGACATTATTAATTTTTTCAGCATTTTCTGCAACATGAGAAAACAAAAAGCAAATATTACTTGAAACTCCAATTGCTTGCAAAGTGTCAGAGGTGAAGTTGAAGAATTCCTTAAGTATGTTTTTATACACAGACAGCTTGAAGACACTTTGCCATTTGGATGACTCCTTGACCTTTTGGAATGACAGTTAAGATAAGCTGATGAATAAATGCTTATCCTGTTTGCAGGAATTAGGGTATTGGTCTATAACTGAGCATCATGGTGGCATTCTCTGTAGAAGACCTGAGCTTCCTTCACAGTACATGGAGAGAGTTGAGAATTCATAAGAGCCAATATGATAATTGGGAAATTTCTGTTTTAGCCACATGGATATGGTTAAGTAAGGCAGAGAGGTGTAACATTCAGTCCCCTTGACCTAAGACTGCAGGGAAGCAGACTCAGTGCTGATGTGTTAATAGCTTTTAGGATACAAGAGAAACAGTTTAGAGGCTTTGAAGATGTTTAACCTACTTAGCTCACCTACAAAAAGGATAATCTGTTTGCCAGCTTCAAGAGGATTACAAGCAACCCTTAGCAGTCTCCTGCAAAACATGCTTCAGAGACGTCATTCATGCTCAGAACAATCTATCTCACTAAGTGTGTGATTTAGCACTTCATTGTGGCTCAAAACAGAGCCAAACTGATTGTCCTTATGCATTGTGTTTTGGTTCATTTGATAGAGCTGTCTCAGAGCATGGGACTCCTTTGGGGAATAAGACAGGAAGGTGTGCTCCAACCATGACATTCAATCTATGTGTTCAGACTAAAGCTATTCCAAATTTAACCCCTGAAATGTGCATTGAGGCTGAGCATTCGACAGCTACACATTTGTTTTATGAAAGGACTTCATTTGGATGAGTCTGTTTGCACACAGGCATAAGCATGTGCAAAACCAGCAGCACCAGCACACACCTTCCTCTCTGGTCTCTCTTAGACAATTTGTACTAAATATTCACTCCTAAAAGGCACACTATTTCCCTTTGACATTACCAAGAGATTGAGATCTTCTAGATCTTGGCAAAGCTAAAAACCAAAGAAAGGTTTATTCTGGCAGGAAACTCCCTGTGGAGAGAGGTATTCCTCAGTTCTGCTGTGCTACTTGGCAAAGCACCATTCTTTAACTGAATTAGATGACAAACCATTGTTTCCCCCTCCCCCATCTTCTTTATGGGCAGATTTAAACCTTATATATAACCTATGATTGAAAAGACATCAATTCACTTTACCCCTATTCCATCTTTCCAGTTATATCAGAGTTCCCTAGCATTAAAGACCTGTTGTATGTAATTAACCTCTAAATAGAAAGCAAAGCAAATATGGACAAGATCAGGTAAAAATTAAGATATTGAAGGTAACTAAAACATAGTTCTAAAGTACAGCTGCAATGAGCATTATGTATTGAATTAAACACTTCCTGAGTTTCATGCTACCAGTGGATGCAGTGACAGTCTCTGTCTTCCAAAGGAAGTTATCAGACACACCTTATATTGCTAAATTAGTTAGTGCAGCCACAGTTACAGAAAAGCAAATGATAAAACTGAGACATGATGTAAACAGCTGAAGCTCATGATAATGGGCTAGCTAGTTACAACAGTGAGGTAAATATTATATTAGTAAACAGGTCAGAAAATAGGTGTAATTTTCCTCACCTTAATCTCCAAAGCCTGTTTATTACATACAAATAAAACAGCACTTTTGAGAAAATGGAATAGAAAATAATAAAATAAATTATTAAATGTAGATTGCTACATTTAATAATTCCTAACTATAATAAATAACAAGAAAAAAAAAGATCCCTTTTAAAGGGTAGGGAAAGTTCCAGGGTTTTTTTTAGAGAAACTGAAGGACTAATATAATATTAACAAAATGAGAAGTGTCTCTGAAAGAAGAGTTGACAAACTAAAAACAACATTATGTGCTTATCCTGCAGTTTCAGAAAGGGTCCTTATCTCACTGGACATGAAGTGAGAACTGCTCACAGAACTATCTGAACTTCTGACTGCTCATTACCTGTAATAGCTAGGATAAATAAGTTATCATTAAATCAAGGATTGAAGCAAGGTATATATGATTCCTATTGAAAAACAGCCTTTTTGTCCACACAGATACATTTCTCCAATTGTAAGAAATTTTACAAATGTATGACTCTCTTAATCAAATAGTAAAGCACTTTAAAAGATTTTACATATCTTGACAGTGTCAAGGCTCAGTAAGGTAGAAAACTGAATTTAATCTACTAAGAGCCTGCAGAACAGAACCTTTATTTGTATCAGCATCTCAAATTTATTTACTCTTCAGTATTCTTGTTTGAATTAATACAGAATCTTCCACTTCATTTTTAAACCATATTTTCAAAGTTCTCTGTGTCTGTGGCTCTGCAAACGAATCTTGAATTTCATGGTCGAGAAAAGAGCTTTATTTGCAAATTTTTACATACTTTGGACAACTAATGCTTAGGAAGTCTATCTTACCTAGGCACCTTGATTGTAAAGATTAAAATATTAACTCCTGCATTTTTAGAATAGTGTACTTGAAGCAATGGTTTGGGTATTTGCTGTAGAGACATTTTCAGGAATGGCTTCAGTTTTGCCACTCTTCCTGTCCAAGTGTGTGTGTCACCATCAGGAGACAGTCTAGGCTGTAACACCACCCACAGCCAAATTATTCTGTCTCTTATCCTCGCCCCTGCCAAAGTGAGATGGTGCAGTTTGATTTGTTGCCAAACATACTGAGTTTGAGTAACTTAGATACCTCGGGGAGTAAAACTATCTGTGGGAAAAAACTTGGATCCATCTTCCACCTGCCCATTATAACTGCTACCACCCTTTAGAGAAGGTTAAACACAGAGACTGACAGTACCCCACACCCTTTTTGTTTTATTTCTGGCTAACCAGTCATCCATTTGAAAAATGGTTTTGTATTTTTTCTGCTCACATCCTCATTAAAGCAGTCATCCATTACTTTGTCACAATGCAACATATTTTACTCATGAGTCACCTCTGAAGCTATCCTGAGGCCTGAAGATAATGCTTCTGATGGCAGCTGGGATTCCAGCTTAGCCCCGCTTAGTATGTCTGCTTTCTGCATTGAAAAGGCTTGTTCTTTCTTTTTTTCTTTTTTGTTTGTTTGTTTGTTTGGGTTTTTTTTCTTTTTTAAATTCAAGCCATCCTTTTTAACGCTGCACCTTCCAGCAGAAAAATCGCTGTTCCTCACCTGTCGTGGGCCGGGTCAGACACGCCCCGGGAGAGACTCGCTCCCCCTGCTGGCCCGTGGCTGCGAAATTCCCCTTGGATCGACTGAGATAATCCACGGCGAGTCAGTATGGAGTGGCTCTTTACGGGGGTTTAATTTTTGCCGTGGATTACGGTTGAGACATTGAAATCAATCCAAGATATTATCTGTTGTAAAAAACCTACAAGTGTTTCACTGCCTTCCACCAATTCCAACAAAATTTTAACATGCATGAAATCTTAATTTATAAAATGCTAAATAGTTTCCCAAGGAAACTAAAGGTTCATCGGCAACCTCGGGCTCATACCACAAAAGTTACAGTTTAACTTGCCCTGTGGCTATTGTCAAATACTCTGCTCCTCCTCCAGCACGGCCAATCTCACAGCGATAGCAGAGATCACGTCTCTGCCAGGGCATGAATGATATGGAAAAGCAACTGAACTTCAATGGTTGTTAGACTGACAAGTCACAAAAACAGCTTCACAGCATACCATTTGTGTACTTGAAAGATCCTGCTACACCGTTTAGCTCAAATCTGAGGGTAACAAAGTTATAATATATAGCTGTTTAATAAAGAAAAGCAAAAAAGCAAAAAAAACCACCACAACCTCTTCATACTCTGTTGTCTGCTATAGGATATTTTTTCTTGCATGGATTAAAGAAGCCATAGACTGATGTAGTTCCTGCTAAAGTAAAAGCCATCCTATTTTCATGGCTGAAACTGATAATGTGACTGGTAAGTGCTGGAAATGATACTGCATAATTTTATTAGCATTTAAAGAGGAAAAGCTGTTGCTGGTTCAGTGATGCAGTGAGTCAGGGTTTTCAAATGCATGGTATGCACATGAGAGAGCAAATAAAATATCACAAAGAGCATAACTCACATACAATATTCAATTTTTTATCACAGAGATATTAAGAACCCATCACTACCAATACAAAAAGCACAAACAAAACCTAATGCTGGCAATACCTTTAGTGAGAGTCCTCCATATGCTGGTCAGCTACAAGAATGTGCCATAGATCTTCCTGTTCTTGCCAGAGAAATGCTCACTCACCTCTGGGCATCCTAAGCAAAGAGCTGTGTCAAGTGGTGGCAGCAAATTGAACAACAGTCACTGCAAATTGACTTTTAGAATGGATTACACTAGACTATATTTAATATACACATGGTTACCTTGACTAAACAGCAGTATTTCAGTTAAGTCACCTTTGGAAGGGAATTGTTCACACTCTAATTTAGTTCAGTTTAATTTTGCAGGTTTCTCTTCTTATAAAGTTCTAATATGGTTTAAGTATTTCAGTTTGGTAAATTCAGGTCAATATCCTCAAGTATGACTTCACCAAAGGGGTTCTCCTTTTCATACTCTCGTTTTGTATAAAGCTCTATCTTGCTGAAATTTTATAGACTGTATTCTTTGTTGTGGAATATTTCCTTGGGTAGTAGTTATAACATAAATTCATGTCTGATCACAACTGACTATTTTTAGAGATGTTTCAAGGAAAAAAAATGGAAATTTGCTGGTTTAATTATTCAAGGATTTTTCTTCCTCCCCATGACACATGCAGGGCTGGAATAGCCTTATATTCCATAACCACTGTTTGAGGAAAGAGAGCAATGTCACCATCCATAAATTGAGTATGTAATTCTGAGCCTGGGAAAGATCAAGTACTTGATTCAAATTGAAAAAAAAATTGAAACAGTAAAATCAAAAGTGTTTTGAAGGGAGTACATTCCTTAAATTATCTCCACACAAAAATAATTTATTCACATCAGAAATTCCAGTGAACTGTAATCCTCATGTCAGAAAGTGTTGCATGACAAGGACTTCCGATGTTGCAGATTAAGGAATACACTGGAAAAACGTACTTGTCTTCCAGTCATCTGGAACTGTCATTCACACCCATGTAATCCTCTTGATCAGCCAGCACATAAGAAATATGGGTTCCAAAATAATTTATAATACTTCAATGATAAAAAGTCAGACTGATTTTGTCTCCTCTCCAGAAGTTTATTTAGAGTTGAAGAGAAGCCTCTTTGCTTGCTTTGTTTCACAAATTTATTCCAGATTTTATGGGAATGTAATTTTTAATCTCAGGAACTTGTTCAATAACCTTCTAATTCTAACCCAAAATTTATTTTGTTTTCTAACAGTTTGAAAGGCAGCAGACATACATTTATACAGACATTTTAGTAATTTAACTTTACCTGATGTGATTTTCAAGCTCACATTTGCAATCTGTATTACATCTGAAATATTCCGAAAGTAGTCAGGAATTCCCAACAGGCCATTCTTTCCAGGTGAACAGTATGCAGCAAATCCTAACAGCAGGCTTAGAAAAATCAGCAGCATGATTTATGTAATACCTATAAATTAAAAGGATTAACAGCTAAGGTTAATATTTTCATTGTGTTACCACCAGCCAAAAGATTTTACCTCAGCAGTGGTTTGTTGTTCTGGATGAGAATGATCATACTGCTTGCTTTCTTAAGCTGCTTAGTGTTTAAACAATTGTAATTTGGAATTGGATAAGCCTTCTTACCATTTTTATGGTCTATTTCACGGTTTATGATCCATGAACATAACTGTTCTTCTATGCATTATCTTTTTTTTCTGTTTCTCTCATGTCCCTTTAGATCCTGCAATAAGCAAAGGTCCAATTTCACCATGACTCTTAGGGATCTGTTAAATGCCATATTATACACTTAAGCACTACTATTTAACATTTGACTGCTGTGATTAAATTGTCACAGTCTCAAGAATCACAGGGCTGTCATCCGCAGGAGGTAATTCATCCTTTGGAGCTGAGAAAAGCCTCAAGGCAGAGCTTCAACAGGTTTAGACACGGTCCCTCTAGGGTAATTAGACTGGAACAATGTTTAATACATTAATTATTAATAAATTAATTCCATTCCTTCCTCTCTTGATCAGTGGCAGTTGACTCTTCATACTATACTGGTTAGAACGTCTAATGATTTCTTTATGCAGTCCTACAATACAGGCCACATCTGTTACTACAGTATTTGTGGGGGCATCTGTACAAGATTGGTGAACTGCACTACTGACATTGCCATCGCTAATGTTGCTGAAAAAAAGTAAACAGAATCAGAAAATCCTTAGTTGTAAAGAACCCACAAAAATCACTGAGTCCAGTTCCTGGTCCTACACAGGACAGCCCCAAGATGGGCCTGAGAGCCCTGTCCAAACATTCCTTGAGCTCTGTCAGGCTCGGTGCTCTAATCAGTTCTTTGGGGAGCCTCTTCAGTGCCCAATTACTCTACTGGGGAGAACCTTTTCCTTATATACAACCTAAACTTCCCCTGACACAACTTCAGCCATTCCCTTGAGTGCCGCCACTGGTCACCAGAGCAGAAATCAGTGTCTGCCCCTCATGAGGAAGCTCCAGGACCACAATAATGTCTGACTTCAGCTGAACAAGCCAAGTAACCTCAGGTACTCCTCAAATGGCTTCCTTTCCAGACCCTTCACAATGTTCGTCAGGATACTATCAAAACACAATTATGTCGACAGAGAGGGGGAAAACCAATTCCTCTCGTTTGAGAGAACACTGAAGAGAGCTCCAGTCCGGCCGTTCCGTGGGCAGGAGGTGTGTGCCACCTACCTGGCCCGGAGATGGCGTTATTGCCCGGCCCAGGGCAGGTGTCCCCGCCTACACCTGCCGCTGTCAGACTGGCCACGGCTTAAAGGAACGACAGCACAGCGCCCCGTGGGCTTCGTGCTCACTCAGCTTTTATCGGGCAATGGCATTTGCATTTTGTGCGCTCCGACGTGACACAGCGCAGCTCACAGCAAGCCCGGGGCTCAGCGCGGCCCCGCCGCCTCTCCCCCCTCAGGGCAGCGGGGCGCACGCGCACCGCCTCTCAGCCAGGAGTGACGTCACTGCGCGGAAGGAATCCCACGAGCTGCTCGCGTCAGGCGGCTTCCGGGAGAACCAACTGCAGCCTTAAAGGGCCGCAGCGGCTCCGGGTAGTGGCGGCCCCGGGCTCGGCCGTACCGCTGTCTACACGACCGGCCCGACGGCACCGCCCGCACACGGCCACAAACCGTCCAGGGTGGGCTCCGGCCCGCTGAAGGGAAAGGAGCGCGGGGGCGGGGCCGCAGCCAACCGACCAATCAACAGCCAACAGCTTCCCAGCCGCCCCAATCAGCGGCACCGGTTCCCAAAACAATCGTGGCGAGCCAATGGGAAGCGCGCGCCGCTCTGTCTTGGCTCAGGCCGCCCCCGGGCTGTGCCCGCGGCCTCCCGGCAGCAGGGGGCGCGCGGGGGCGGCGGCGCTGCGCGGGCGGCGCGGAGGAGGCGCTGCCGCCGCTCTCGGTGTCGTTATCGCCGTCGCCGCTGTCGCGCCCGTCCCGCCGGCCCCGCCTCCCGCTGCGCTCCCGCGGCCTCACAGCAGGTACGGGCGGGGGGAGGGACAGACACGCCGCATGCCGATGCCGCCGCGGCACCCTCCGCCCGAGGAAGGAGTGCCCAGACGCGGCCGGCCCTGTTGCCGTTCCGCCCCGCTCCGGGCGCGGGGAGTCGGTCCCGCCCGTCCCTTCCCTCGCCGCGGGGCCGCCGCTCCCCGCCGAGTTGGAGCCGCGGGCTCTCCGCGCCCCTCCCGCGGCGGGGGTCGTGTGTCCCCCCGGCCGCGGCCGCTGTCGGTGCCGCCGGGGCCGCGGCCGGGCCGGGCCCCCGGAGGGCTCTCCCCGCCGCCGGAGCCGCTCGGCGCGAACAAAGGCGGCGGGCGGGCGCGCTGGGGCAGCGCAGCCCGCGGGTCGGGAGCGCTCCTGTTGCGCCGTGGCTGGAACAACCCCCGGAGAGCGCGGACAGTGGCCGGGCCGGGGCCCGTCCTCGGCCGCGGCCCCCGGAGGAGCTGTTGGGTTCCGCGCTCACGGGTGCGCGGCGGTGACCCTGTCGTGCCCGCAGCCGTGGGTGCCGCGCCGTGCCGCGCCGTGCCCGGGCAGCTCCGGCGGGCAGCGCTGCAAGCGTTCGGGTACGGAAAGTCAGAACCGGCTTACGGGAAGTGGGAAAGAAACCCCAAACCACCCGCACAGCCAGAAACAGCAACGAAACTCGAATGTTGTCGATTGTAGTGACCAAAATCGAGTATGAAAGGTTTATCTTGGTTTAAACCCTGTTGATAAATGTGGATTTATTGGTAAGATGCTCTTCCTGCGGTTAGGTTTTTGGATCTGTTTACTGAAGTATCTGAGAGAACTGTAAACCGAAGTCTTCCAGTCCTGCTTCTTAATCTCCTAGGGAAGTGAGATGACTTCACAAAGCGTTTTTGTTCTTTCCTGTTTCTTACATGGATTTAAAAAAAAAATGTAGTACAGCTGTGGAAATAAAAAATAAATCTTGAAAACTCTCTTATTATTTTGTGGGTAGGGAAGAAGTGGGAGGAGATGCAACTAAATACCGAAGGTAAGGAGTGGGAAATTAGTACATCTTAAATTACTGCTATATGTTCTGTTTTCTTTTATTCAGATATTTTGTTTTGACTGCAGTCAAGTTCACTTTTTAGAAATAAAAGGTGGAACTGCATTATGTCTGTGTTAGGTGTTTTTTTGAGCTGACATAACAGAACTCAGTGATTGTGGCCAGAAGTACTAGATTAAGCAGAGAAGTTAACTTGGGGCTATTGAAATCTGTCTTGTGTAATGTGTTTCCTGTTTCTCCCACAGCATCTTGCATGTTTGAAGTGTCTTATAAAACAGCTCAATAATGCGTGAACATGAGCATAAAATCTTCTCTGCTTTTGCAGTCTGAGGAACACATTTGTTTTGTATGGATTTTGTATTAAAGTTTCTATTTTCCCTTCCTTATTTTGATGCCAGTCCAAGTCTGATGAGCAGTTTACAATCTCTGTAAGGCAGGCTTTAGTTTGCACTGTAGTTTATTATCTGTGATTATGCTTTTAATCTGTCAGATGGTTGGGATGGGCAATAAAACAGCTTTGACAAGTCTGCTTTCTGGCAAGGCTTATTCTGTAATGGCACGTGCTCGGTGGCCAGTTGGATCCTTGGCTGGGTTGGAGTGGGGGATAGTGGAGGTGTTTGTGTGGGTGGCATCTCTTGAGGAAGTGATTTGGGTGTAGCTGCGTGTGTGCCAGTCCTCACTTGGCTCTGTCGAGGCAGAGTTCTGCTTTCCTGTGCCCCTGGGGTGGGAATTAACCCGTATGTAGCTTTTGGATCCAGGTGCCTGAAAGTATTGTACTTGTTGCTGCTGTTAGTGGTGCAGGAGGTAGCAGCAGAGATAGGCTCTTGCTTCCAGTAGGTGAGAGGGATTTATATTGCCTGTCTCTTAGTTCTATCTTCATTCCTGCTGTTCTGTTTCAGTCTTGTTCTTTGCAGTATTCCCTTTATTCTAGGGTGCAACTTCTCTCCTTTGGAGTAGTTTTCGTGTATGGAAACAGATGAATTGTTTGTGGTGGTGAATTGTTTGTGGTGTCATTTTATACACGGGCTTCTGGTTGCACAGATTCTGACCAAAGTTTTGACAAAATGATGGTGTAGATGATGGGTTCGTTTCTGTCAGAATCGAGGGGGAGAAGGCTGATGCTAGGATACAGGAGGGATTTCTTCACTTGGTGTGATTTTATTTGCTAATTCAGCTGAACCATTGAGGCTGATAGAGATCTATCAACTGCAGTAAATTTTCCATGTGCTTTGTACTGTATAGAAATTTGAGATTCCGGTCACCTATGTGTTTATAGTGACCTCAGTGATGCATGTCAGGAGGATATGCTCCTGTAATTTAAAAGAACACGTCTATATACTACCCTTTTTAAGTTTTAGCTCTGTAGGGAGAGAAAAGCAGCAAGGATCACTGACTTCCAGTTTTTTTAGCATTTAGGCCTGAAGGTGCAGAGTATACTTACTTGAAGTATTTATAATAGCCAGAGCACAAATACTTAAAACAAACAATAACAGAATTATTTGGTCAGTTGAAGGTCATTAATTCCCAGGGGGAGTAGTTCTGGTCCCCAAATGATGTTATGCATTTTCACGGCATTCTCCACTCATCTCTAAATAAGTAATGTACAAAACTCTATGCAAGAGGAGAAAGGATCAGATCCTTCCCAGTTCCCTGTCCTGTGGGACTGAATTTTCCACTGGGCATGGCAAACTGTAGATAGTTGCTCTCTGGTTCTGCAGTTTAGAAATGGAAAGGCTCAGCTCTCTATAGTTTTACACACTGGTACCTTCCTTTTTACAATAGCCAAGGCTTTCTACAAAAAACCCTCAATTTCTACATTCTGTATAAATTTATTCACTTGTGTTCCAGAGATTTGCTTTGCAAAGATAGTCTAGCAATTGTACTCAACACCCTTGTGACTGAATATGGCACATGGTATATACTAGATAATCGGAATGTCCCTTAAAATGTACCTTGAATGCCTTAGAAGTGCTAAAATACAGAAAAGAATAAAACTATCTTGCCACAGGCTGGAAGGAAGGGAAATAACCAATAAGAGCCATAAGTGGCTTTGTGGAAGAGAGAAGTAGAAGTGTTCCTGCCTGCCTGCACTGGCACAGACCTGTTGTCCTTCGTATCTCTGTTTGTATGGGTGG